ACACACACACACACACACACACACACACACACACACGACACAAAAAATTAAAAATAAGTCACAAAAGCATGGGTATTGGGATGCCTCTCAAGCCGGAAGCACTGCCCTGCCATGTACACAGAAAGCCCACAGCACCGCAGGAAAACAAAAACAAAACAAAACGGGGAATTCTGTAGTATTATGGAGGTGACCTTCAAAAGAACTGCCACTACCTACCGAGACATGGAGGAAGTGGGGAGAGACTTTCACTGATGTGACTGCGTGCCATCAGAGAGCTTATCTCCAGCCTGACATAGGAACAACAGTAGAGATTCTCCCAGTTGCACAAACTTCCCAGAAGGAGCATCTTCATTGCCTGAGCTGAGCTACCTCAACACATTAAAAGGTTCTAACACACCACGGAGGGGGTTAGTTAGCAAAGCCTGTCGTCTACCCAGAGCAGCAACCTGACAACCACACCCAAAAGTAACACATTTCAAATAGCTTAAAATTCCCATTCTTGTTTGTTTGTTTGATTGTTTTATTTGTTTTAAAAATTAAATAAACAGACTCACAGTTCCACAAGGTTTGGAAGCTTCTGAGCAAGGTTTTCTGGCTGAAAATTAAAAACTCAGAATTAAATTTTATCTTTGGAAAAAGGTATTAACATTTTTAAGTACCTTAAACACAATAGACTATTTTCTTGGGATATAAATTTTAAGAATGTGAAAATAATAACTCAGCATTTTAGGATTTATACTTATACCAATCACAAGACACTTAGTAAATTCAAACAGTTAAAATCAGCATCCCTTAGAGCAGTGGTTCTCAACCTTCCTAATGCTGCGACCCTTTAATAGCTTCATGTTGTAGTGACCCCAACCATAAAATTATTTTCATGGCTAAATCATAACCATAATTTTGCTACTGTTCGGTAGGAATCATAATGTAAATATCTGAGTTTTCCGATGGTCTTAGGCCACCCCTGTGGAAAGGTTGCAAGCTACAGGTTGAGAAACAGTGCCTTAGGGAAATCAGAACCCTCTGGCTCAATGGCCACAGAAGAAAGACACTGCTCAGGAGACAGACAAAAGGAAGGCGGTCGTGGATGAGAGAATCGGGGGCTAGAGAGGCAGCTGTGGACAAAGAATGCCAAGGACTGCCAACAGCCTGCTCAGGGAGAAAGGCCTGCCAGACTCTACAGTCCCCAAAAGGAGACCCGCCTCCACCCCATGAACACACCCTAATTTTGGATGCTTGAGTCCAGAGTGTAAGTGAATGAACTTCTGTTGGTGCTGCATTGTTACAGTGGCCTCACAGAGTCCTCAAAGTCCCCTTTTCCCTCCCCCAGTTCTGCTGCCCAAGAATGAGACCCAAGAAGGCTGAGAATGAACAGAGATGAGAACCGTGGTCCAACATTTCTGGACCTGAGGGCGGCCTCCTGAGAGTGTGGCAGATGGAGGAAATGAGTCATGGGGGAGGGGTGCTTTTCCAAGGGGAAACTTCCACAATTTCATTCACAGGTTGAAAGGAGCAGACAGTCCCACCCCGGGGTGTCCTGTAAATAACTGGGTATCAAATCACAAACATGGTTCGTATTACAAGTTCATGGTTACAAGTACATGAAGATGCACACTATGAGAACTGAAGAAGTGCACAGGATATGTTTTTTGTTTTTCATTCCACATCCCCCAAACACCAAAAGGTAAGCTAGATTTCAATGACAGAACCAGGAATAGCTTTTAGAAAACAAAAATAAAAAGCGTCTGGCATGAATTCTGAAAGACAAATATAACAGACCGGCATGAGGTGGATGGGAGGGTGGCTCTGGTTCACCTCCTGGGCACAGGAAGTGACATATGCAAAGGGGAAGGTGTGCTTAGAAAGTGACCTATTGTCCTGTGATGCCTTACTAGTACTCTTAAAGACATCCCGGGTTCTGCACAACTTTGTTATAGGAACAGCTGTGCTTGGGGTGGGGGTGGCCAACGATCAGGAACGTGTGTGATGGACTTCATGACATGTCCCTCCAATTGGTGCCTCTGGGGAGGTTTAGGAGGTGTGGCCTTGCTGAAGGAAGTGTGTCACAGGGAGCAAAGCTCTGAGGGTTCATGAGCCACACGCCATTCCTAGCTGGCTCTAGGATTCCTTCTTGCAGTTCAAGATGTGAGCCCTCCGCTGCAGGTGCAGCCGCCACGCCTTTGTTCCCTCCTTAACAGACTAACACTCCGGACCAAAATCGCCTTGCTCGCAGTGTTTTACCACACCAACAGAAAGAAACTAACACAGAACATATTTGGCTTTTGCACCTAAGTTGGTCACCTCACAACCACCTGTTACTCCAGCTCCAGGGGATCTGATGCCCTCTTCCAGGCTCTTTGGACACTTACCCTCACAGGTACACATACTCGCAAACATATAAATTTCAAATTTAAATAAAAATCAAGTATAAACCTGTAGACTGATTTTGTACAAAGTGGCAAGGACTGTTAAGGTCCGATGTAAAATATTACCACAGACTCATGATTAAACATTAGGTCACCGGGGAGTGGTGCTGTTTGGGGAAGATTGTGGAGCTTTAGGAAGCTCAGAAGCTTAGGGGATGAGAAAGATAGGCCACAATGATTAGAGAAGTAACTAATACATGGGCTTTTCTAAGGAATAGCTTAAAACAACAAAAACAACAACAAAACCAAAAACTAAACACAATGGAAACCCACTAGTTTATTTTCGACAAGAGAATAACATTACGGGTGGCGGTGGCACATTCCTTTAATTCCAGCCCTCAGGAGACAGAGGCAGGCAAATCTCTGTGAGATGGAGGCCAGCCTAGTCTACAAAGTGAGTTCCAGGGCAGTCAGGACTGTTACACAGAGAAACCCTGTCTTGAAAAACCAAAAACCAAACCAAACCAAAACAAAAAAACGTACAATTTCATTCAGGCATACAGACACATTCCCACTGCTTAGATACATAACAGCCACGCCCTTTTCTCATAAGCACCATCACTGGACATGGACACTGTAAAGTGACTGAAGAATCTGAATACTCACTGTTGACAGAATCAACTGATGTCTAAGTGGTACAAGTTTTGAATCCTCACATTTGGTACCAGTATACATGTCACAAGGGGATCTATCAAAATCCCTGGAATAGTCTTTTAGTATTGGTGTCTTTCCCAGTAACAACATACATTTCCATTTATGGGTATATCTAGCAAAACTAGAGAAGTGTGGGGCAGAGGGCTTATTAAAGCAAAGACTGGGGCAGGGAAGAAACGCCGTCAGAGCCTCATCTTAGCTTCATCTGCCGGCGTATCAATATTGTTTCTGGTTAGCTTGCATGACCCTCAATTATTTCTGGATGTCTACTTGGCTTTACCAGAGAGCATTCCACGATAAGCTGGCTCTACACAAAGCACTGAGACCATACTTCTGCTACTGACAGGCATCAGTAAGAGTTGACTAACAAGCTAAGCACATTGTGTGTATGTTTAAATACAGTACACTAATTTTGAGAAGACTGGAGTCCGTGAGAATACTGCCTTTTGAAAGTACAAAATAGGTAAGTACATCTCTCGTGAATCAAGTTCAAACGTCCTAGGGAACCGCATGTGTTGAACAGGCCATGACTGACCTCTACTGGCACTCTGTGGTATGACTCCCTTCTCTCGAAGCCCATGTTTTCATGGAAAACAGAAATCCCACCAACAGTTACATACACCAAGTTTCTTCATGACCAATGCAAAAGTAAACTTTAACAAGTATAGCTGGCATAAAGTATTCTTTCAAACTCCCCTTAAATGTGAAGGTTTAAAATTTTGTTAAGTTGGAACATGTATTTCATGTGTTTTATAAACCACAGCGGATCTGTGATGTTCTCTGGATGGGACTGTCCTTCCGGCTCCTCCCTTTCAGAAGCTAAGGCAAAAGTGATCCGGTCTGGGGTTCTTGATCAGGCTCTGTTTTTGTTTGTTTTCCTGCCAATTAAAAAATTAAAAGGCAGAAAAAAATCTTGAGCCAGACAGCATCAGGGGAATCTTAAACACTGCAAACAGGAACAGACAGAAACAGCAGTCCGAGAAAGGCATTTACTGGGGTAAGGGAACACGTGCTACAGCTGACACAGAGACAAGGCCTCTGGAAGGCCAAAAAGCCAGTCTCTTCTTGAGGGCTGGGTCTTTTAAGTCTGGGGAGTTTTCCTCCCCTAATTTAGGGTTGGCCAGCTTGAAGAGAGACAGGATGGTTGGTTGGCCCACAACTGTGTAGGACATCTCCTGGTTAGGGTTTGAGCCAGTCCATCAGCAGGGGGCGGGGGGGGAGGGGGGAGGGCTGCTGGTGGGAGACAAAAGCCTGCAAGGCCTTTGTTTTAAGCTGTCAGGTTCTTTTCTTAAGTCGGGAGGGTAACGGAAAAAGCTGGCCATTTTGGAAGTTCCTCTCCATTATCACTCAGCCATGGCTCCTCTCCCTGTCTGTCTGCCTGTCAGGAAGTCTGTCTAACTCTAGTCTCTCAAAAGAACTCACCTGCTCCACAGCGACTTCAAACTGGTGACAGCTTTGTTAGGCTTCACCCCTGAGGTTTCCCTCAAGCCCGAGTAACCAAAGAACCCAGACTCTGCATCCATCAGGACTAGGAAATACCTGTGTAGCTAAGCTAGTCGGACTCAAGGTTCAGCATCAGCTCGAACCTAACATCTAACAACACATTTCACAGGAGTCACACATTTCGGCTCTTAGATCAGTATAAAAATTAAAATAGCCGAGCAGTGGTGGCACACACCTTTAATCCCAGCACTCGGGAGGCAGAGCCAGGTGAATCTCTGTGAGTTCGAGGCCAGCCTGGGCTACCAAGTGAGTTCCAGGAAAGGTGCAAAGCTACATAGAAAAACCCTGTCTAAAAAAAAAAAAACAAAAAAACAAAACAAAACAAAAATTAAAATAAAAGCCGGGTGTGGTGATACAGGACTTTAATCCCAGCACTCAGGAGGCAGAGTCAGGTAGCTCTCTGTGAGTTCAAGATCAGCCTGGACTACAAAGAGAGTGAGTTCTAGGACAGCCAAGGCTACACAGAGAAACCCTGTCTCAATAATAATAATAATAATAATAATAATAATAATAATAATAATAAAAAGAATGATTTTGTATCCCTATTTCACACTATACAAGAATTAACTTGCTCTCTCAATTCAAGTTCTCTCAATTCGAGAACTTGAGTTTAAGAGCTAAAATCATCACTTTTACAAAACATAGGAACATGATGCTAGAGATGCTCAGCAGTTAAGCGCACTGGCCGCTCTTCCAGAGGACCCAGGTTCAATTCCCAGCACCCACACAGTGGCTCACAACCATCTGTAACTTCAGTCCCAGGGGGATACAGGCCTTCTTCTGGCCTCCATGGGTACTATATACATGTTGTGCACAGATATAACTGCTGGCAAAACACCCACACCCATAAAATGAAAACAAATTATTTAAAGGGAAAGGAATAAATCTCCTTCCTCTTGAATTTGGCAGTGGATTCACAGCTGGTATATAAAAGCATAAGCTACGACAGTCAAAAAGGAGGTAAGTTAAACTTCATCATAATTAAGACCTTTTGTACACTAAGGGCATTCAT